ATCGGAAATATTTAACGATTACTAAATGTCGAAGGCCTAGACAAAAAATTAAAAAACAGCAAAGTTATAATTTTTTTCATTTATTTTTCCGATTATTCCTATGGGAGCTATATGCTATAGTCGTCCGATTTTGATGAAATTTAAACCGTAAATCGGAAATATTTAACTATTACTAAACGTCGAAAAACTAACAAAAAAAATTAAAAAACAGCAAAGTTATAATTTTTTTTCATTTATTTTTCCGATTGTTCCTATGGGAGCTATATGCTATAATCGTCCTATCCGGCTTGTTCCGACTTATATACTACCTGCAATAGAAATACAACTTTTGGGAAAGTTTCATGCAGATAGCTTTAAAACTGAGAGACTAGTTTGCATATAAACGGACGGACAGACTGACAGACGGACGGACAGACGGACATGGCTAGATCGACTCTACTAGTGATGCTGATCAAGAATATATATACTTTATAGGGTCGGAGATGTCTCTTTCACTGCGTTGCAAACTTCTGACTAAAATTATAATACCCTCTGCAAGGATATAAAAATCATTACTGATTACAATGCTTTTGCTTTAACGATGAAAAAGGTCGGCTAAATCATTGTTTCTCCAAGACTATGACTGTCATCAAACAAGATGAGGCATGTACATAGATGGCTTAAGTCGAGTTTCATGTCTTATGCTGAAAGACACACAGCACCATAAATTGCTGGGAGCACAGTCTCAAAAATCATGGTTTTGAGCAGTGATGGCAGCGCTGAAAAACAGCAAACACGATGATTTTTATGTCAAACACGGCATGTTGTACAAGGATCCCGTCAAGGAATTGATCGTGGTGCCAACTCTGATGGAGGATGGAATTTTTAGAATGGCCCATTAGCAGGGGCATTTCTAGGTAGGAAGGACTCGAGAGGCAGTTGAGAGGACGTTTTACAAACCCAACTTATCGAAAAAAGTAATAGGAGTGGTAAATAGTTGTCTTAAATGTATTATATCTAAAGGCAAGACAGGCAAATATAAAGGTTTTTATACACCCATAAACAAAGATGCTAAATCTTTGGAAACATATCATATTGACCACGTTGGACCAATAGAGCAGACCAGCAAGAACTACAATTACATTCTCGAGGTAGTCGATGGGTTTAATAAATTCTAAGCTGTTGACAGGCGTTGAAATGAAACTTAACAAAATTTCCAATTTGAACATGTCTTAGAAGATGCCGCTATCGAGGAATTGGACCAAGAAAGAGATACCGTGCGTACAAAAGCACAGTAGAACATTGCTTAAGTTCAGCAAGAGAATCGTAAGACCTTCTGCAAAAGACGTTAGAAGGAATTAAACTATAAAGTGAACGAGTTAGTAACTATAATAGTCAGGACGCCAGCTCATGACGTTGCGATATGACGTTGCGAAAGTTGGCTACCAAAAAGGACTAAAAACATGAAAAAATTGAATCCTTAATCTTAACCACCAACAATTCTAAACCTTAAAATTTCTTGATTTTCGTTAGAACTATTTCATTACGCTAACGTTACTTATAACTTTCAGCAATCAATCTAAATATCGATACTACTAAACCGAATCGAGCCAGCTCTAGTACTCGCTTTTGCTCCCTGATCGTCAAGGCAGAGAGTTAATGTTTTATTTTTGCACTCACAATTAATGTCATTAAACTTAATTGTCGAGTTTTAATTGGACCAATCACCGAAAATATGTTTTGAAAGGAAGTAGACAATAAAATGGATATTTTATAACAAAAAAGTCTAAACCAATTTTTGTGTGATTTAGAGCTCAAGAAGCAGATTTTGTGTGCGCATGAACTCCTGCAGCGTTTATTGCATTGCTACCATTGTGGTTGTTATAGCTACCACCATTGATTCTCATCCACTAGACGAGCGGGCAGTAATTTCTGGTTTGGTCTGTAGCTGCATTATTCCTGCATCGGCTTGGTGAGTTGTCGACTTAGAGGCTGGGGCAGGTGACCCGTTGGTTTAACTTAACGCCTGAGCAATATAAACTCTAGTGGTCGTGGATGATGGTATATAATGAATGTTTTGTAGGGTGACTGGGTTTCGAGCTGCCGTTATTTGTTGTCTAAGGCGAGTTTTTAACTCTTTATAGACAGGGCAGCCTCTATAGCTGGCAGAATGGTCTTCCTTATTTACAGGGCAGGCCTCAGTTGTGTGTGCATAGCCACAGGCAAAGCAGACTACGCGCAAAGTGCAATAGGTTTTCGTGTGTCCTTATAACTGGCAATTCGTGCATTAGACGTGTCCATTCTGTCAAGGGTGATTCTGCGGTTCAGTAATATTATAAGCTTGAAGATTGGGTGAACTTAATTTTTTAAAGCAAACTTTCAGGCGTCAATTCTACCTTGAACATCGGATGGCGAATTTTATTTATGTTTATTAAGCTTACTCTTTTTATTTAGTCCATCTATTATCTCGCCGATAGGGACTGTTGACTCGACTCTTTTGATAACTACTGGTACTTTTAAGTATGTAGGTTTAATAATTGATTATTTCGGTGTCGAGATTCTTGGTCAATAATTGATAACCTTGTTCGTCACTTACTTTTATTAGAATTTACTTTGCATAGTATTTATTTACCAAAATTTTATTTGTTTTTTTTTACAAATTCAATTCATTACCATAAAAGTTATTGATAAAAAACCTGAAACTTTAACAAACTGTTTTAAAATCTGAAACAAGTTCCAATTCAACTCAATTAATTTTTTTAACAAATTATTTTTCGAATAAATAATTTATTGATTTAAAACGAACCGTAAAAATTGTACAATACTTACATTTAAATTAAGTCATATGACAACTTAAGTCGTTTATAATTTACTCAAAATGTAAACTTATTATACACATTTCTTTTCCAACTCAAATAGTTTATAAACGATTGCTCAATGTCTTGCCATACCCATAAAAAACTCAATTGGTTTAATTTTGTGCCAGCATGATTTTTTTATGATTTAATTGGTTAATTTTTTATTTACTCGAACGTTTTATTACATGAATATCAGTTATAAATTATGAATTAGCCTAACTCTTAAGAATGACCTAAAATAATATTTATATACATAGGATTAATTGTGTTTTATTGGTATCCAAAGATCCGGTCAACTAAAATTTCATTTACATATCTGAAACACCGCCATTGACATTACAACAGGTTGCAGATAACTGTTAATGTATTTATGGGTTTGGTATTACTCGAATATTTTGAATACTACATTACATATGTACAATTTGTATAACCGAATGTTACTATCCAAAGGTTGGAGGTTTTAAGTTCACATAAAATACACATTTAAGGGCTAATAAGGAAGGCACTTGACAGTTAAAATGAATATATATCAAGCCGAATCACGACTAGATCAACAAAGAAAAAATTTATAAAATAAAAAATTTCAAATTGAATACTCTTTTTGGGAAAACGCTATTACCTTTTACAACTTGTTTTTATTAGAATCTTAGTACTCCTAACACGACTTTTAAAGAAAACTAACATGGCATAGATACTGCATCAAACCAGAAAGAACGCAATAGTCGAGTTCCCCGACCATTAAATACCGGTGCCCATGAAAGAAATTTCAAAATGAATATTTCCCCACAAAACAAAATCGAACTGCATAGCCAACATTAGAAGCTAAGAGGGTGCCGCATCCCCACCCCCTCCCACAGTTATTTCGTTCTGTATCTATACATAAGCGATCACCACGACCCTACCTTATTGGCATAAGGTTATGTGTTTTCCTGGCAAAGCAGTGGTCGAGCAGAGGACTTAAGACGTCGACTTTGAACATTTTTCTGTTTACCAATTGATTTGACAGAAACACACAGACAGCCCAATACCCAAGGTCTAACATGTCTCAGAGTGGGAAGACAGACTTTTGAAGTCCCGTTTTGAAATAAACTTGCGCTGCGTAAGAATTACTTGAATCTGCATGTCAAATCTTAAAATCTCTAGGTCTTATAGTTTCTAAGATCTGGAAGTTTATACGGACAGACAGACGTACAGACATCAGACGGGCAGACAGACGGAAATGGCTAGATCGACTCGGCTGTTAATCTTGATCAAGATGTTATATATACTTTATTGGGTCGGAAACGCTTCCGAATACACTCCTCCCTTTTACTCAACGAATAACGCTAGTCTACACATGTGGTGTTACACCTTACGTATAGTAAAGTACCCACTTAAACATTCCCACCACGGGTTCGTAACAGTTTGGACATGCGGTTGAGTTTAAAGTAAAACAAAAAAAAAGCAAACTTCGGCAAGCCGAAGTGCATATACCCTTGCAGCTATTGCAAAAATTAAACATTTTTGAAAACATTAAAATTATGGTTTACGTGCGTATACGTTTAAAAACATTGAAGCTATAATGTTCCTATGGCAAATTATATAGTTTTCGATTAAAAAAAAATTAAATGCGTAATTCTAAACTGTTAAATTATTAATAAGTCAAAAAAAATGTTTGAAAAAATATACAAAATAGAGAAGTTAAATTTTTTTTAAATTTATTTTTTTTTTTAATTCTTAAATGGTATAGTCGTCCGATGTTAAAAAAATGTATATTGTAATTAAAAAATATTTAACCATTACTCTCGAAGAACTAAAAAAAAATTAAAAAACAGCAAAGTTATAATTTTTTTTTTATTTTTTTGCGATTGTTCCTATGGGAGCTATATGATATAGTCGTCCGATTTTGATGAAATTAAAAACCGTAATTCTGAAATATTTAACCATTACTATATGTCGAAGAACTAAAAAAAAATTAAAAAACAGCAAAGTTAACATTTTTTTTTTTTTTTTTCTGATTGTTCCTATGGGAACTAGATGCTATAGTCGTCCGATCCGGCTCGTTCCGACTTATATACTACCTGCAATAGACAGACGGACATGGCTAGATCGACTCTCCTAGTGATGCTGATCATGAATATATATACTTTATAGGTTTGGAAATGTCTCCTTCATTGCGTTGCAAACATCTGACTGAAATTATAATAACCTCTGCAAGGGTATAAAAATTATAATGTATGAGCACCAAAATTTTTAATACTTAAGCAAGAACACAAGCATTAAGTTTTCTAATTATTTTTCTAAGAACAATGCATATTTTACTTCAAAGAAAGTACTACAAAAGTCAAAAGACGACAATTTTAATTCTTACGAAGTATCGATATCGCATTAGTATTTTTATACTTAATTTACACTCTTATAAACATTAAATTATTTTAATAGACTTATTCCTTGCCGAATTTTGGAAAACAAAAACAATTACTTATCCTTTTTTCTAATACTGATGTGTATTGGGCGGAAAATGTGAAATGTGAAATGTGTGTCAGTGAAATTGGGCTACAAAATAATGATGATTGGGCAGAATGTAAACATATTTTGGCCAAGGTTGTTTCTAAGTTCACCATTTATGAAAACTCCCATACTGTCCTTACTTCGCGGTCAGAAGCAATTTTATTGCGATTTAAGATTATTTCTGACCACATATACTGAGTTTACTTTTATGTTTGTTACAACAACCTTCAGTTCAAAATATTTTCAACACCGCAAATATAAATCTAAATTTTAATAGTGGCCACCCTGGTGGAAAGCCATATAAACTATATAGCAAATCTGAAAATTATCTAGAAAAAGGATTTATTCATTACATTTGCCGGTTACTCGTACATTTTTAGAACAGCTTCTATATTTCGATAACCAATTTCAAGGCAGTGCATCGGGTGGAAGCCACCTACTCAATTTTTGGGTTAAGCTGAGAGCGAGAATAGCCACACGTCTTTTCAATCGAACTGCCAATATCAGTTAGCCCATAGTTGTTCGGGAACGTGGAGCAGCTTGGATCTGCTTGCGTCGTTGGCTAAGATGACGAAATCTCTTCTACTGTGCTAACGCGATCTGCCGCTTCTGTCGGATTCTGGGCGCTGAAAATTGACGGAGCCACGCCTATTCCCGCACTTAAAACTGTTGTGAGCATATGGGGATCGCAGCCCAGTGTGCTTTGTCACCCATAGTAAATCTGTGAGCCAATGGCCACGCCGGTGGGAAGAGTGCGTGGGGCAGTACCGTCGTATGAGAGCTGTGACTGCAACAAGGGGGGCTTGACGCGTCGCAATGTCGATGCTCCCCCAACTGTCATAGGCACATGACTTTGTGGGATCACAGTCATAGCCAATGGGGAAGGTAACGGAACTGAAGGTTGAGGGGGATGCTCTGGCGAGCCCCCGGGCAGCGAGGTTGGTGGGGTAGGCGTGTTATTCGGTCGATGAAGCACGCCTATGCTTTCGGCGTTAACGATATACCCGCCTCTGATTGTCGGCGCCGTCGTATAATGAGCCAATGAACTTATGGGTACCATGGTGCCTTCCGAGGGAGAACAATTTTGGAATCAATGACAAATTGGTCGGCGGGAATACTTACTTAGAGCACTGCTACTGGAGGTTTTAGTTCCAACCACAATAGCCGAGGTCAGAATGCCCGCCACCTGAGCCTGACTGGCGATACTTGTGGTCCCGAAGGCTCCCGGGGTAATGCCAAGAAGGTCGGGTGACTGTCGAGTCCCCAACAAAAGCGGATTTGCCATTATCCCGGCGTCGGGTCCCGGGCTAGCCGCTGAAGTGAGCTGGTTGGGGGATAAGCTGGCGTATAGGCTGCTCGTCGGCGCGTACGTTAAATAGTTCTGCGTGGGGGCAGATAACAAGGTGGGAAGATAACCTAGATAGACCTTATTAAAAAATACTTACCTCATTCTTGGACACGAAGGGTACAGGCTGCGAAGCTTTTAAATCAATGTCAGCGTCTATTTCGGAAATCGTGTCGTTAAATCCGCTCGGAGTGATGGTGTCCTCAACTATGCCACCTCTTGCTCTCACTTTAGTTGAGCTTGAGTGCGTGTTAGTATTTAGATCGCGTCGCTTTTGAAGCACTAGCCTAGTGGCGATAATTACTATGGAGAAGAGCACTCCTAGTGAGCCCAAGGCAAGCAGATACAAATAGAGACGCTCCTGGTCCTCTGTCAAAATACAAAAGTTAATAGAAACTGCATTACATAACAATTAAAATGATTAATGTCAATAAAGAGCATCCAAAAAATAAAAGCCAAATTTTGTCATTAGTTCAAGGCGTGAACCCCTTAAGCAAATTTAATTTAACAAATCCAAAATATACAAAAACTGAACTAAAAGAGGTCAGGGTTCAAGAACATTTCCAATCGAATCAGAAAGCTTAAATTGTTTATTTTAAATTAAGTCTTATCCGCAAGAAAAAGCTGAGAAATCTTTCGTTTTTTTAAATGTGACTTACCTTCCAGGCTCAAGTCAGCACTGTGTGTCATTACTGGATTCACAACACTGCTGTCAACATATGTGACCAGAGAGTTGTTCGTCATGGTCTGATTGGTTGTTGGATTCTCGGATCCCGTCCCCAGCCCAATGGTGCCGTTGCGGCGTCCTAACGTTGTTGAGTTGCTGTGCAACTTAGGAATCGCCTCCGACTCCTTATAAATCAATTCATCTTCGTAGAGGTCGATCATATCGCCCTCAAAGCCTTCAGATTCATCCGGCTCCTTTTCCGAATCCTTGTTTTCCTTAAGAACTTGCTTTGGGACTAGACAAACCCAATAATAAGATTATAGCCCAATTACATAGATAACATCCAAGCGGAACAGTTGGGAGTTTTGACAAACGTCAGACTGGTATTCCCACAGAGCCATCATCGTCCATCCAATACAGCCATAACCACTCACAGAAGCGCAAGTAGAATTTTTTAAGGGGGTCTTACTTTATCAATCTGATTGAATGCTATGAAACAGAGTCCTGCAAGAGTATACTAAAAGAGTATACTAGACTCCTCTTCAGGAAAACAGCTTGAGTAAATCAGCTTCCAAAAATGTTACATTCAAAATGTTCAGTTTTTAATCAGGGTCATTGGATTCAGGGACCAAAAAAAATAACATTTTTTGTTTTTATACCCTTGCAGAGGGTATTATAATTTCAGTCAGAAGTTTGCAACGCAGTGAAGGAGACATCTCCGACCCTATAAAGTATATATATTCTTGATCAGCATCACTAGGCGAGTCGATCTAGCCATGTCCGTCTGTCCGTCCGTCTGTCCTAGTCTTTAAGTTTTAAAGCTATCTGCATGAAACTTTCCCAAAAGTTGTCTTTCTATTGCAGGTAGTATATAAGTCGGAACGAGCCGGATCGGACGACTATAGCATATAGCTCCCATAGGAACAATCGGAAAAATAAATGAAAAAAAATTATTACTTTTCTGTTTTTTAATTTTTTGTTTAGTTCTTCGACATTTAGTAATGGTTAAATATTTTCGATTTACGGTTTAAATTTCATCAAAGTCGGACGACAATATCATATAGGTCCCATAGGAACAATCGGAGAAATAAATGAGAAAAAATTATAACTTTTCTGTTTTTTAATTTTTTGTTTAGTTCTTCGACATATGGCAATGTTTAATTATTTCAGAATTATGGTTTAAATTTTATCAAAATCGGACGTCTATATCATATAGCTCCCATAGAAATAATAAAAATATATAAAATAACTATCTAATAATTGAGCTGCAAATCATCATAGCTTCACTGTTTTTCAGTATATACTCAAGTAAATCATAATTTAAATGTTTTCAAAAGTATTTAATTCATGCAATAGCTGCAAGGGTATATGAACTTCGGCTTGCCGAAGTTTGCTTTCTTTCTTGTTTCCCATTGTTTGAAAACTAAAATAAATAATTGAATTCCAAATTTTTAAGTTTTTTTAAAATCTAAAATAATTGTTATTTAAGATTTATATTTATTTTTTTATTTGACAAATCATAACTTGTTGTTATTTGAGAATTTTATTTTGACAAATCAAATCTCAAATAATTATTATCGGGATTTTTATACCCTTGCAGAGGGTATTATAATTTCAGTCAGAAGATTGCAAAGCACTGAAGGAGACATCTCCGACCCTATAAAGTATATATATTCTTGATCGGCATCACTAGTAGAGTCGATCTAGCCATGTCGGTCTGTCGGTCTGTCAGTCTGTCCGTCCGTTTCTACGCAAACTAGTCTCTCAGTTTTAAAGCTATCTGCATGAAACTTTCCCAAAAGTTGTATTTCTATTGCAGGTAGTATATAAGTCGGAACGCGCCGGATCGGACGACTATAGCATATAGCTCTCATTGGAACAATCGGGAAAAAAAAAAATTATAACTTAGCTGTTTTTTAATTTTTTTCTTAGCTCTTCAACATATAGTATTGGTTAATTATTTCAGAATTACGGTTTATATTTCATCAAAATCGGACGACTATAACGCATAGCTTCCAAAGAAATAATAAAAATATATAAAATAACTATCTAATAATTGAGCTGCAAGTCTTCATAGCTTCAATGTTTTTCAACATATACGCAATTTTAATGTTTTCAAAAGTATTTAATTCTTGCAATAACTGCAAGGGTATATGAACTTCGGCTTGCCGAAGTTTGCTTTCTTTCTTGTTATATATAAAGATCTCAGATAATACTCTATTTGGTCTTGTCACCTTTTTGCAGAGGCCACCAAAATCAGGCATAATAGACAACTACATTTTTTATTCATAAAAGTTATAATCGTCACATTTACATTTATGGATTGGAATCATAAGGTCATTGAGTCATGCACTCGAGTAGCTTATAAAGTTGAACGAAAATTTTCCCGTAATTTTTGCCTCACCAGAAATATTTGCCGTGAGCTGCTTAAACTGATTTTTTTCGAGTAATGTATGCTTGATTGAATTGTTCGTTTTCTTGCTGTGAGCTACTTGAGCTGAACTGATTTTTTTTTTCAACGAGTTAATATAATCCTAGCTCATGACAGGAGCTGTTACTCGATGATTCGATGATTCCATGACCTACGATTCCAAAGTCTCAACTCGTGGAGGTCCCTACTATACAAATTGCAGTATAAGCCTTTTCTTTCGACCACACCACTGGCTCACATAAGCAAAGATGGACGACATACAAAAAATTAAAATGCACGGATCGTTAATCCACCATCTTGGACTAACTGAAATATTTCTGGAACTGCAAAAACTTTCGAACATTGCCGCTAAAGGATGGTGCTCTGTGGGATCCGGCTTCCACCTCACTATTCCGCCACAAACCTCATCTTCCCACTTACCGCAAGTATAAACAACCTTCAAGTACATACGAGAATTGGGTTGACAAGGCGTACCAAAAGTTTTGGGGTCTGCAGCCAAGTTGCATCTTCGTCGTCCATGGCAAATTTTCATCACGGTCTCCGTGGCGAACGAGGCGAGACATGCTGTAGAAGGCAAGATGCAAAAATCAGTATATATAAAATCACAGAGAAAAGATTGATAAAAAGAAAACGAATTGCATGATGTGGCGAATGAACGTGTGTTGGTCAAAACACTTTTTAAAGTTGTTAAGAAACTTAAGTATTTTTTACATGTTGTTACCAGGAATTTGCCGATTAGTATCCGTATCTTATTCGCGAGAGAATAAATAGGCCAGCAGAGAATGCTACAACTTAAGCAAATTGTTCTTTCACCAATAATTTACGGATAAATTGTTGAGAACAAAAAAGTTTCAATTTCAAATGAGGATTAGCTAATTTGATTTAAATCGGACCGTCCCATTCCTTACCGTTTGCGTGCTCACTTAAAAAGCTAGAATCATTCGCCATCTTTTTATATTCGTAGTTGTATTGATTGTTTTCAAAAATAATAATTACGTATAAATCAATGTTTTTTGAAGGTCTTTCTCAGTTTAAGCAAAATCGGATTGCTATATCCTATAGCTGCCCACTGTTATTTTCAAGCGTACTGTACGTTGTGTTCGGATCATGTTAAAAAATCTTGCTAATCGGGAATGATCTAGCCAAACTTACTCAATAATTTTCGGTACGAACACAAAATAATAAAAACTTCTGCTTTCCGAAAAAAAAAATTTGTTTCGCTTGGGAAAAAATTTAAGAAGTGTCTCGAAATAAACTTTTAAGCACTACGAATATTTATAATGAACAAATTGAGATTGAAAATGGCTAAAATCAATCAACATGTCGTTACAATTGTATGTGACTTTGGACAGTTGTCTAAAAAAAAAAATTAACTTAATTATAATAAATATAGAAAAAAGTATGCTAAATAAGTCCTTCTGAGTCAAATCCAAAGACATATTAAGAATTGTAAAATATTTTGTTCTCCTTTAAGTATAAAGTCCAAACATTTTTAGTTTAAGCTCAATACACTAAGTTTAATTAAAAATTAAAAAAAAAATCAATCTAAGTACAACAGTAGTTTTATTAAACTTTTTGTTTACAAAATAAGAAACGACTTAAAACGTAATTTTGTTTCAATTTTATTGTTTGTTATAAATATATATAAGGTCAAGTAAATAGTTATCCATTATTTGTACATGAACTTCAAAAATTTTGTTTATGGTTTAATTAACCGATTTATTAAAAATAAATAAATTTTTTTCAACAATCGATTGCCAATTTCATGGTAATTTCATGAGACTCCTCTCATAAAATCCTTCGTCCTTTGCAAAATCTGAGAAAGTCGGCTTTCACAATCCTCTCTTGTAACTAATTTTACACTATCCAAATCGTTCGACATTGATAGGAAAAGGTGGTAGTCACTTGGTGCGATGTCCGGGCTATAAGGTGAATGCAAAATATCCACCCATCCAAGCTGTCGGGGCTTCTGGCAAGTCGCTATTGACGTGTGTGGTCTAGCGTTGTTCTGATGGAAAATAATTCCTTTCCTATTGGCGAAAGTGGGGCGCATCTGGGCAATTTCTTCCTTCAGCCGTCCAATTTTTGACAGTACAAAACCGAACTAACCATAGGGGAACAGCTCATAGTAGATAATTCCTTGCCAATCCCACCAAATACATAGCAAAACCATTCTGGCCGTCAATCCTGGCTTAGACAATGCCTGGGCCGGCTCATCCTTCTTCAACCATGACCGTTTTCTCCTCACGTTGTCGTAAGTGACCCACTTGTCATGACCAGTCACCATCCGCTTCAAAAACGGGTCGGTTTTTTTGCGGTTCAGCAGGGATTCGCAGATCGAAATTCGGTCTAACATGTTTTTTTTGATAACTCATGTGGCACCCATATGATACATCGAGCTTTTTTGAGTTTCCAGCATTTGTTAAGCTCTTGGGCAATTGATTTAGTGCTTGAATGAGGGTCAGTATCAACGATTTCCATTATTTTGTCGGCATTTTTGACGATTGGCCTTCCGCAGCGTGCATCATCTTTAACAACAAAATTCCCAGAACAAAATAGACGAAACCAGAATTGTGCATGGCTGGCAGTTACAGTATTATGGCCATACATTTACATTTTAAGCTGCCGGCTTGAGATTTACAGATACATATAACTAAAGTCATCTATTGTTCATATATAGACTTCATTTTACCTGACCTTATATATATATTTAATTTGAAAACGAGTGTTACCCCCTCCCTTCGTTATTACCTTATTGTTTTACGTTAAAATAAAAGCATTTTACTAACGAAACCCTTTTATAAAAAAGCACATGACTTGAATGAGAATTTTACCTGGAACCTTACGCGATCTTTATGTAAGCCTTAACCACTCTTCCGCCTTCTAACTTGTTAGTGAACAAAAAAGACACAACTATTTTCTATTTTTTTTTAAATAAGTACATATGTATGTCCTCATGTGAGTTCTTAACAAAACTTGCACTAAAAATAGGTATATTCTCAATTTCATAACTCAAATTATCAAATTCTGAACGTCAGAATTTTCTCTGTGTATGTTATTAAAAATACCACTTTTCCTAAAACTTTTCCAGAAACTTTGAGCAATTTTATTTAACTTTAGTAACTTTAAGAGACAAATTTTCCATCTAACAGATATAGATGCTTAACTAGATCAATTTTTAAACACAAGGTATTACAAAATTTTTTAAGGGATAATATACAGTTAGAAGGCCGAATAAAGCGAATTTTCTGAAAATTTTTTCTGACAAAACTTTTAAATATTATGGTATATTTTAACTGTATTTTAAGAGTTAGTATTAGTAAAAATATTGATTTGGAAGTGACCTACAATTGACCTCCTGAAGCTTCTCTAAAAACAATAGTCTGTGAACTGGATCGTCGTCAAAGTAATGTTAAATCTAGTAATTAACAAAAGGAAAAAGTTAAATAACATTTTTTGTCAAAATAGAGGTTTATAAAAATAAATGATTTATACCAAAATTTCGGGCTTAAGGTGTTAATAAAAAAAAGTTTGTCGGGTAAGAAAACTCTTGGACTAGTTATTTAAAACTATATTTAAGAAGCTCGTGTTAAAATTGGAGATTAATCAGTCTAGCCGTTTTCGAGAGAAATGCGTTTAAAGTTTGTACTTGAACTTTGAAGCACTCTGAAACGCCTTTTAAAATTTGTGTGTATGAAAATAAAAAAAAAATAAATATATTTTTTTAATTCTAAATTTAACGAGCTATTAGTTTTTCAAACAAATTTGATAATTGGCACAGAGTGCACATCTGAACCAAACTTACTTTCTTCACGAACCCCTTGCGGCTGGGGGCATTGAATGCTCTCGTACTCGGTTCTTCCAAAGCTGGCACTATATACAGCTATCCGGGAGTAAGGATTGCACTCAAGTTGGGCAACATCACTATGGCAAGCAACCTTACTGCGAAACTCATCTAAAATATAAATTAATTCGCATTAAATTTTTAATGTAATTAAAAAAAAAGGGGTTCAACTGTTTCAAGTAGTTAATATCAGGGGAGAAGCCTAGTCGAAAGAGCAGTAACACGTTCCTGAGACTCCTGTGTTTACATCTTTAATCTTGCCTTGTTTTTTATACACATTTTTTTGTAGGTATCTTAATTTTCTTCTGTCTATAAAAGTGGTAGATTGGGCCCCCTCGTATCGAACGGGTTAACTCCACCGCCAAAGTTGAAATTTTAATACGTTTACGTTAAAAAGGTCTTACAGATTTATTTGGGAATGGAACAGACTTTGGTAAGTCGAAGTTTTTAACTTAATGTTTCCATCTATGTCGGCAAATGTTCAGAACATTGGTTGTTACAAATGTTGTATTGTTGTTTTTATTCTAGTTTTTATTATTAAGGGAAATGTTAGCTTTAGAAGCTACGCAAATGTCGGATCAATATTGAATCTTAAGCCAAGGCTTAGCCACCCAAATGAAAACCAAAACATAAGTGCGCATGGATGATGTGCATATAGGTTTACAAATCTGTGACCGTGAAGCACTGAAAAAACAGGGGCTACCCAGCGCCAAAAAACTTATTTTCAGCAAACATTTGTTTGCCCCTAGTCATTTTATAGGAAAATCTTCCACAATTAAAAATATGTTACCCTTTATTTTGTTAAATAAACACAAAATGTGTAGGTAATTTAGTCCGTTTTAAGGTAAAATATCTTGGAAGCTATGCAACCAATCCTTATTTCTGGTGCTCCGACTGATGTAATATTTGATATTTGGAAAATTCCAGACGCGTCTGCTTGCGAATTTGGCCGTTTGAGGCAAAACTGTTAGAAATTATATAACTGTATTTATGGATGTATTACTTGTAGAACGGTTCTACGGCTTACTCGCTTCTGTTTTCGATATTTATGTGCCTTCATTTCTCTCACAGAAAGTTTCTCACAAGCCTCCTTGGTTCTCTCGTAGATTCTCCTATCTGATAAACTGCAAGTCCAGATTTTTTAAGACATTTAAAACCATTCGAGATACCTAACTGCGCGCTCCGAATACTTAATTCACAATTCCCAATTTTACAAGAATTACCTAGGTAGTGGCAGAACTAGTTTCCACGATAATTCTTAATTTCTTAATTTAAAACGAAAATCTTAACAATGTCCATTTTGACTTAATCTTGACACCGTTTCGGCTATTATTGGTTCAAATATTGTAAACATATTTATCAAACTTTTCCACTTGTCCTTATTAACTTCCGCACATTTACTGTACATTTATGCCCAAAATCAGCGCATATGCCGGTTTTCATAATCTTCAATCAATCAATTCTTCCTTCTCTCTGGTCCTGATCTTCTACCAAGCTATGTTCTAAAATATTGTGCTAGAACGTTGTTTAAGCCTCTGCCTAAACCATTTCAGTTATCTTTGCTGTATTCATACGTCCCGGACGTTTGGAATGAATTTTTATACCCTTGCAGAGGGTATTATAATTTCAGTCAGAAGTTTGCAACGCAGTGAAGGAGACATCTCCGACCCTATAAAGTATATATATTCTTGATTAGCATCACTAGGCGAGTCGATCTAGCCATGTCCGTCTGTCCGTCCGTCTGTCCGTCTGTCCGTCCGTTTATATGCAAACTAGTCTCTCAGTTTTAAAGCTATCTGCATGAAACTTTCCCAAAAGTTGTCTTGCTATTGCAGGTAGTATATAAGTCGGAACGAGCCGGATCGGACGACTATAGCATATAGCTCCCATAGGAACAATCGGAAAAATAAATGAAAAAAAATTATAACTTTGCTGTTTTTTAATTTTTTGTTTAGTTCTTTGAGATATAGTAATGGTTAAATATTTCAGAATTAAGTTTTAAATTTCATCAAAATCGGACGACTATAGCATATAGCTCCCATAGGAACAATCGGAAAAATAAATGAAAAAAAATTATAACTTTTCTGTTTTTTAATTTTTTGTTTAGTTCTTCGACATATAGCAATGTTTAATTATTTCAGAATTATGGTTTAAATTTTATCAAAATCGGACGTCTATAGCATATAGCTCCCATAGAAATAATAAAAATATATAAAATAACTATCTAATAATTGAGCTGCAAATCATCATAGTTTCAATGTTTTTCAGCATATACTCAAGTAAATCATAATTTAAATGTTTTCAAAAGTATTTAATTCATGCAATAGCTGCAAGGGTATATGAACTTCGGCTTGCCGAAGTTTGCTTTCTTTCTTGTTTATAATCAAACATTCAAAACTATCTTGCGACTGCCAAACTTAAGGCTGTTCCCAAATTCTTTGAACAGTAAATTACTTCTCAGCTACAGCACCAATGCAGATCAACAATGTCCTTCACACAGCAATGTCCTTCACAACGTAGATCAACGTCTACCAACCTGCTAGAGTTTTCTGCAGTAATCAGGACTGCTTTCAAAAAAGCAATCAATCAGTAAGGCTTTCGACCATCAATTACTTTTAAAAAACTTGATCTTTTGGGATTCCCGATCACGCTGACCAAGTGGATTTGAACGTATTTATCGAACCAAACCAAGAGAGTATCATTTAAAAATTTGATCTCAATTTATTTCAATTCAATTCATGTGACTTTGGTGTTCCTCAAAAGAGTCATCTGGGTCATCTTCTGTTTGGGATTTTTATTAATGATTTGCCTGAAGTTATTCTCTCTTCCCATGTACGCCAATGACGTAAAACTCTGTTTGCCATTAACAAATCCTGATTCCCACAACCTCCTGCAAACGGACTTAAACAATCTGCAACAATAAGAAAAAAGCTTTCCTCGCTAAATATTCAATTGGGACGAGCGATCTTGAACGCATAAATTCCGTAACAGATCATGGAGTTGTATTTAACCACATCTTAAACTTTACCGCTTACATTGGTATGAGAGGGGCGATGGTCGAAGGAATTTGAGGATCCCTACACCACAAAACACCTTTACATTTCTCTTGTTCGACCAATTCTTGAATACTGTTCGTGGACATGGGCACCTCAATACTCTAAATATCAGGACCTTATCGAATCGGTAAAAAAACAGTTTCTTTTGTTTCACCTACCTTTTTACGTCGATAGATTGCGTCTATTTAGCCTGCCCTCGCTAAGGGATCGTCGGACCTGCCACGAACTAATGTTCCTTCACAAATTAATCAATGGACACAATAATTCCACACGATTTTCTATTCCTGTAAGATCATCTTGTCACTTTCGTCCTATTGCTCTTGAAATTTTCAAAACTAATTTTGAGAAACGCGATCCGTTTCGCGTTTTATGTTCACCATATAACGAACTGTATTTTTTGTTGTTTTGTGAAATTTTGGTTAACCTAAATTTTACACATATTTTAACGCACCTATCCTTGGCTCCGCCCACTCTAACGCCCACAAGCCCTGAAAGTATGAACTGTCACTCTGAGACATGTTGGACTGTAAGCGTTGGACTTAGTATGTGTGTTTCGGTCATATATATCGGTAGACACATTAAAAATCGAGATAATATATTAGGAGTTATAGGCTTTTAATTGATATATTCTTGACATTTATATATAGTCTCGGATCCATCCCTAGACTGCAAGGGTAATAAAACTTCGACTTGCCGAAACTAGTTTCCGTTTTCGTTTTTATAACCCTGCAGAGCATTATAATTTCAGTCAGAAGTTTGCAACAGAATGAAGGAGACACTTCCGACCCTGTAAAGTATATATATTTTCGAACAGAATCAGCATCAGAGTCAATCTAGCCAGTTTAGATATTTAGTGATAGTTTAACATTTTAGAATTAGACGACGTTATCATATAGCTCCCATGGAAACAAACTGCTTTATTGACTACATTATCACCTAGCAAGCTTACATTTCCTGACTATTTATTTGTCTCGCAAAAAAAACTGAGTTTAAGTTACTGTTGATGTTGATGGTTGTTTTAAAGTTTAAGTTTTGGGTGTCTCTTACATGGGCGGCATTTATATGCGACTTCAACAATTTTCCTGCGCTTGGGACACGGGTCGCTGCTTATTGCATTGGAACTGGCCGTGCTGCTGTGATAGCTGCTCGTTCCAGACGAGTCGCCTACACCGCTGGCTCCCTGTCCGTAGAATTGTGGGGATCCGTGGAACTTGCAGTGCTTCTTCTTCTGGCAGGCTTCTACCACTGTTTGCAGTAAGGAGTACTGGGAATAAAGAGAAGAAAAACAAGATTTGGTTGAACTTTAGCCCTTACTTCAAATTTCTTTCCGTCCATATGAACATTCTGACTTATAAAAAAAGACCTGAAAAAACTTAAAAACCAACGCGATCGTCCACAGATCTGAGGACAGGATAAGTAACTTATAGAATTTAATTAAGATAAACCAGATGGTAATGGAAATGTAGCATTGACTGAAAAAAAGTTTACATGAATACGCTAAACAAAAATTAGAGTGTCAAGTTTTGGTCCTCAAAAATATTTTTATACCCTTGCAGAGGGTATTATAATTTCAGTCAGAAGTTTGCAACGCAGTGAAGGAGACGTTTCCGACCCTATAAAGTCTATATATTCTTGATCAGCATCACTAGTAGAGTCGATCTAGGCATGTCCGTCTGTCCGTCCATCTGTCCTTTCGTCTGTCCGTCCGTTTATATGCAAACTAGTCTCTCAGTTTTAAAGGTATCTGCATGAAACTTTCTCAAAACTTGTCTTTCTATTGCAGGTAGTATATAAGTCAGAACGAGCCGGATCGGACTTAACTTTGCTGTTTTTTTTTTAATTTTTTGTTAAGTTCTTCGACATATAGCAATGTTTAATTATTTCAGAATTATGGTTTAAATTTTATCAAAATCGGACGTCTATAGCATATAGCTCCCATAGAAATAATAAAAATATATAAAATAACTATCTAATAATTGAGCTGCAAATCATCATAGTTTCAATGTTTTTCAGCATATACTCAAGTAAATCATAATTTAAATGTTTTCAAAAGTATTTAATTCATGCAATAGCTGCAAGGATATATGAACTTCGGCTTGCCGAAGTTTGCTTTCTTTCTTGTTTTTAATTTTTTGTTTAGTTCTTCGATTTTTAGTAATGGTTATATATTTCAGAATTACCGTTTAAATTTCAGCATATAGCTGCCATAAGAACAATAGGAAAAATAAATTTCGTCAAAATCGGACGACTATAGCATATAGCTCCCATAGGAACAATCGGAAAAATAAATGAAAAAAAATTATTACTTTTCTGTTTTTTAATTTTTTGTTTAGTTCTTCGACATTTAGTAATGGTTAAATATTTTCGATTTACGGTTTAAATTTCATCAAAGTCGAACGACTATATCATATAGGTCCCATAGGAACAATCGGAGAAATAAATGAAAAAAAATTATAACTTTTCTGTTTTTTAATTTTTTGTTTAGTTCTTCGACATATGGCAATGTTTAATTATTTCAGAATTATGGTTTAAATTTTATCAAAATCGGATGACTATATCATATAGCTCCGATAGAAATAATAAAAATAACTATCAAATAACTATCTAATAATTGAGCTGCAAATCATCAAAGCTTCAATGTTTTTAAACATGTACGCAAGTGAATCATAATTTTAATGTTTTCAAAAATATTCAATTCTTGCAATAGCTGCAAGGGTATATGAACTTGTTTTCAATTGATTTGAATATACTTCGACACAAAGTAATGGTTTATTAATATTTTATTTAAATCAAACCACAGGATCAAAAAGCTACTTGTAAAACACAAAAGCATAAAAATCAAATCATATTGTTATTTAAAACAATTTGTAATTTTTGGATTAGTTCCAAGGGTGTATAAACTTGAACTTGCCGAACATTGCTTCCTTTCTTGTTAGTTAAGCTTTAAAGTCTTGCCAAAACAAAATTTGTACTGAAGTATAGCTAACAGTTTTTTTTGTAAAAACCATGGTCAAAATATTGGGGTACTTCGAATATATTTCAAACAAAAACTTTTAATATCAAACAAAAACACCTCTTAACGAGGTAAAATATTCGGGGTGATATCAAATTTGTGACGAAATTTTAATAAACATTCGTCTTAATAAATACAATTTTGAAATGTTCCCATTCGTCACGATGAAATAAAAAATGCATATGTAGGCAAAATACCTGGATGAATCGGTCGCAGCTTGCGCAATAGATTACATCAGAAGATTTTTTATGTCATATCGAAATTGGAATTGGACAATGGAAAAATCTATTATAATTATGATTCGCAAGCCTGGAAAACTCTTCCTTCGTCATACAGATCAATTAGCCTCCTGTCATGCCTATCCAAACTCTTAGAAAAACAAATTCTTCAACGAATTATGCCCCATGTGATCATCAATTTGGATTTAGAGAAAAGCATTTTACTATAGAACAAGTCACAAGAATCACTTCTGAAATTCGAGCTGCCTTCGAGCACAGAGGATTAAGCTCCTACTTCCGCAAACGTTCACAAGGGGCTTGAATCGTATCTTCATGGTAGGGCACAAAAGTTACCTACCCAAAGAGGTTAACATTGCGGCAGGCGTACCGGAGGCAAGCGTCCTCGGACCCGGTCTTTACCATTTATATACGGCAGATATATCCACGAGCTAGCAACACCGATGACAGAGCTATCTTAAGTCGCTCAAAATTCACTCAAGGCATCATCATTACTAGCTTACCATGTACCCCAATTGGAAAAATGGTAAAAATGCAAAAATATACCTCCACCATTAACAAAAAAAATTGTCCACAATTATCACTTAATAACGTATTGACACCATCCACCAATGAAGCCAAAATCCTCGGGTTACACCTTGATAGAAGTCTTACTTGAGGAAGCACATAGAAGCAAAGCGCAAACAACTTAAACCTAAGTCTCGACCACTGCATTGGCTAATAAATTACCGCTCTCCACTTCGGTTAGAGTACAAGGTTATGCTCAACAATACTTTTATAAAGCCTGTTTTAAAATATATCTGTGAACTTTGGGGCAATACCATAAACAGCAATATAGAGCGGATTCAAAGAGGATACTCAAAAGTGCAAGGAATTATAACAGCAGCGCACATGTGGTACATCCGCCACACAGACATCCACAGAGATCTAAACACCCATATACATATCCGAATTATCAACTCACTCAAACACTAGCTAGCACGCGCTCTGCGACTCCAGAACACAAAAACGCCTAAGAATAAATGACTTACCAGCTCGGTAGCTGACGAGACCACACATCAACCAAATGGCACTATTAATGGGCATCTAGTAAATGTATAAATTTAAGCTATTATAACTTGTTGTTAGTCCCCTAAAGGAGTAGATCCCACCCAGTATAGCAAAAAAAAAGTAGCAACGGACCAACCTTCATTTTCGAATGAAGTACAAGTGTCTGTACCAACAGTGCCCACATCGGGCGTTGTTTCTCGAAATACCAGTGCAAAATATGGTGTTGCTCGGATTCAAACTTAATCATTTCACTCTTGAACCCGGGTGCTACTGCAAATGATGTTAAATCCCACTTGAGTAACAGTTTAATTGCTTATACTCCTGATTTTTTTCACCAAGATCATATTTAAGCAAGTGATATCTCAGTTTTTAAGGTTTCTCTTTCTGAAACACTTTTAAAAAAAAGCTCTAGATCCTTACATTTGGCCTTCCCATATAATAGCTCATGATTTTATTAACTAACCTTAAACACTAGGTCCAGTTGTTGAAACTGCTAACGCCTCCACACACTCAAAAAGCTAAATTCGGCCTTTACAATACACTATAAAAATGTATGCAGCTTATTAGGTAAGCTTAATAAGTTTTACGCAGTGTTCCCTTTGATGCGAGCGTAATCGCTTTTACCGAAATTTGGTTAAATTTGTCTGTGTATGATTGCGAAATCGTTACAAACAATTATTTTATATATCTATGCGACCGGCCTAGACGCTTTGGTGGTGGTGTTCTCATCGCGGTCTATTCTACCCTTCCTTCAGATCACATCGATCTTGACGACGGCAATAACATTTTGTCTCCGTCCGCATTTCTTTTATTTTGGGCGTTGATGGCACTATGGTCAGTACAAGCAAGTGCCTCTTACGACACCAAGCTGTGCTTGTTAATCATGGACCCCAGGGGACGTGTAAAACGAGATTGCGAGAGGTGAATTAAAAAGGACAATTAAGGATCGGACGGACTAATACAAAATACTACACACTACTTTATTTACCATGGAAGTAATTTAGGTCCAAAAGGACGCTAAGGTCATAAATATGTCGAATTCTAGAATCTAACGTATACGTGGCTTACAGTGGATTGACCCGATAAAATGTCATTACTTTGGAATGAGCGCTATTTAAGCTCAATAAATTTACATAACCCATGTTTAAAAGGCATCCAGATCCGTTTGTAATTCTGAGCAAAGGGAAATATCGCTATGTTGCGGGCATAACTTAACGTCATCTGCGTACATGAGGACAATCGACTTTGCCCGACGACTTTTTTCAGGGTATTGTTGACATAGGTCAAGTGCAAGCTCCTCCATGTGGATTTCTCTTCTGAATTTTAAACTTTTTTGTGTCAAGAATGAACCATCTAAAAATTGTTTTGAAAGTCACCAGTTACTTTTTAGAGTATGAGTTAAGATCGAACTGCTAATATATAAAAAAGCTAACAATTAAATCTATGCCACACGGAATCAGATTATTCGTTTCTTGATCTGTATCATGAACATTTTCTCTTAATATATAACTTTTATAGCTTGCTCTACTCGTCTCTTGATCTTTTTGTCTCTACTGCGTCATCCTTTGCAAATTCTTGGAAACCCCCTGGCTTACTTGTCGGCTCTCCTACCGAAAAAAAATCAAGAATACGCGTTCTAAGTTGCCAAGTCGGATTTGGTTCAACATAATTCTGAATTTTATCACGTTGTACGAATTCATTTAACTCTAAACGTAAAAAAAACGTAAACGTATCGTTTCCACCATCTTAATACTTTTTTTGCTAGTAAAGACGCTGATATCGCCAATTTTTTTTCTGAGTTTTTTCAAACTACCTATTCCTCTAACCCTCATATTAATTTACACGCTTATCCTTACTCTCTGCCGCACTCTGAAAGTATTTTTATGCCAATCCTTAATGAAAAAAAATAATATTTGAAAACTTTAAGTTGATAAATAAAAATCTCTGTCAAAACCACAGACAAAA